CTCCTGCCCCCCTCTTGAGGAAAGGAGGAGGGGAGAGAGCAGGCCGCGCCGCCGGTCCATGGAGTCAAGGTCGCCGCCCTCACCGTCGGTGGGAGCCTGCCGGGGCGGTGAGGCGCCGTCTCCCAGGGAGGCGTGGCGACGACGACGACGACGACGACAAGGGCGACGACGACGACGAAGACGACGGCGACGACGTCGACGAGGACGACGACGAGGACGACGAGGACGACGAGGACGACGAGGACGACAAGGACGGCGAGGACGACGACGATGACGACGACGACGACGACGACGACGACGACGACGAGGACGACGAGGACGACGAGGACGACGAGGGCGACGGCGACGACGACGACGTGCGGCCCTACAGGGCAGGGCACCTGGGTGGACGAGATGGGGGGGGGGGGGGGGGCAATTAAGGAGGGGGAAGTCGGCTCCTCCTCCTCCTCCTCCTGCTCCTCCTCCTCCTCCTCCACCTTCTCCTCATCCTGCTCCTCCTCCTCCTCCTCCTCCTCCTCCTCCTCCTCCGCCGAGGCCGAAACCAGCGGCATGCAGAATATGTCGCACCCCTCCCTTTCCCTGTGGCAGGCTCGTGCCTTGACGGCCCTGGCGTTGGTGTCTGGCACCGCGTGGGTTGTTCAACCTTCAATGGGAGGACAGGAAGCCGAGACCAGTATTGAAAACATACATGCTCCATCGCCTTTTGAATTGCGTTTGGGCCAGATCGAGCCCGTCCTGGCTCACCGAATCGCAAGGAATAAAAGTGGGGAAGGGAAAGATGAGCATCGTTTGAGAGGCCCGCCAACAAGGCCCAACAAGGCCCACCCCTCGAGAGCCCAGCAGTGAGCGACGAGCGCAGGACCCCAGAGCCTCCCCGAAAGAGACGAAGACCTATGCCAAGCGCTCCGGGCTCGCAGCCCTCAAGCCCAGGCCATACCTGCAAAGTCCTCACAGGACCACGCACCCTCAGGGGCTCAGTTCAATTGGGGGTCTTGGAGTCGACTTTGCCGGCAAGGCGGAGCCGGTACCGGCACCAAAAAGCCACTGGAAAAGTTGACGGCACTTTCCCTGTGTGGACGCTGGTTGGGTGAGCAGAGCTCTCTAAAGCACGAGGGCACGACAGGCCCGCCGATGATCGCAGGCCCCATTGAGGGCGCAGGCCGAATCTCAAGACTCGTCAAGCTCGTAGGGCCTGAGGCCTCATAAGGCTCATTAGCCTCATGGGGGCTCACTGGAAGGGAAGAGGGAGAGGGCCCACGACATCCGCGAACAGCGAACAGCGAACAGACAAGCGCGAAGACGCGGACGAAGTTACGCAAATGAGACTCGGGGTTTGTTCCATGAGGGATCTTGGTGCTGGTGTCGGGCTCTGGTGCGCCGATTCAACGGTCGGCAGCTTTTCGATCGCCAGATCGCTCCAGATCGGCCGAATCAGGGCCGCTGGCGGCGTTCAGCCTCGAACGCCGCGCTGGGGTCGCAGCTGCGTCGACACGACACGAACCTACCGTAGTAGAGGGGGGCGGGTAGTGAATCGGAGCAGGGCCAGTCAAGACAACGGCGGCCCTCCCTCGTTCGGAGCATCGGTTATCCGACACCTATCCCAAACGGCGTGGCCTGGGCCCCATTGGCCGATTTACCCCCCTGGGTGGGGATATAGGCGGTTTGTTCCCTTCGGGTCCCGAGGGGTATATCCCCAGCTGGGGTGCCCAAGCGGGGGGTCGCGGGATGGAGATGAGGATGGGGACAGAGATCGGTCCACAAGCGATGCCGATGTGTTTCGTCCTATCTGGGGCCTCCTGGAAGCTGCTTCGCCGCCGTGCTGAAGTGGTAGGGCGCGGGACGGTGACTGAGATGGGGCCAGGGACCGGTCAAGCGGTGCTGATGTTCTTCGTCCTGTCTGGGGGTAACTGTCCTGGAGGCCTCGTCGCCACGGCCAGACCCGAGCCGGCACGCGGGCCGGGGTGGCCCCTGGGGAGGGGCCCAGCCGCAGAAACCGCTTGTCCTGCGGGCCCCAAGGATATGCACCACCACCACGCCGATTCCCCTTCCCTCCTCCGCCCTCATCTTCCTCTCCTCTCCCGGGGGAAGCTCCCGGGGAAGGGACGGGACGAGGGAGGTGGTGGTGGTGTTGAGGGGGCCCGGGGACGCACAAATAAATACGCACAAATCCCAGGATTCCCCATATTCTCCCATATTTTCTGGGTTGTCGTCCTCCCCCCCACTTCCCATGTTTTCAATATTTTCTGCGGAGTCGACGATTAATTGTGTCTGTGTTATTTTCCCCTCCTGAGGTGTGCAGAAATAATTTCGAGCACCTGGATGAGTGTCGAAAGAATGTCGAAGCAGTGTCGAAACACTGTCGGACGAGTGTCTCCCAGGGCCCGACACGTGGAAACCCTCGAGTTGCGATACTTCTTTGGAGGCTCGAAATTATTTCTCGTGATCAAGGCTGAGGTAGGTTGGAGCATCAGAAGGCTCGGGGAGGATCGGGGAGGGCCGCGGAGCAGCGGGGAGGACCGAGGAGGATTGAGGAGGCGGCAAAGGATGGGGAGACCAAAAGGTACCCATACCGCTACTCCGAGGACCCCTCCTGGGGTGCGCTCTGACCAGGACCTCGAAGCGAAGTCGGCGGTGGCGGCGAGAGCCACCTTTTCAAAAGGGGCAAGCGGGCCGAAGGGTAGCGGTATCGGTACCCTCTCCTCCTCTGAGAGGATCGGAGAGGAAGAGCGAGGAAGAGGACCGGGGAGGATCGGGTCGCGCCGAGGGCGCCGACGGCGCGTCGAAGGCTCCCAAGGCGAGCACCCGCGTCGGGGGGGCGCGCAGCGCGCGCGCTGGGAGCGAACCATGCAGGCCGCCAGAGCCAGCGCGCGGCCTGCGCGGCCGAGGCAGGCCCAGGCGGGGTCGGATCGCAAGGCCGGCTCGGATCGGGAACGGACCACGTGCAGTGCGCCGTCTTGACGACCTACCCACCAGACCACCCCAACCCAACCCGAAGACCCGAAGGTCGGGTTGGGGGAGTGCGGGTTCCATGTGTGTTTTTTCGATGATCCCCGACCCCCCACACTGGCAGCGGAGGGCAAATTGAGGCCTTCGTGTTGGGTTTAGGTCGGGCCTGTCCCCCTACAAGGGGATTCGGGGCGAGAAATGAAACAAATCTCCGAAAATACACCAGAAATGCCCAAAAATGGTCAGCAAATCGTCCCCAGACTATTTCTCACTATTTTGGAAGATCCCGCCTGTAGGGGGACAGGCCCGACTTAAACGTATGGCCCCGTATGGCCAAGGCGCTGAACTCTGCCGACCCCTCGGCGCGTGTGGGACGCTCTTCTGTTTGAGTCGTCGTCGTCGTCGCCGCCGCCGCCGCCGCCGTCGCCGTCGCCGTCGCCGTCGCCGTCGCCGTCGCCGTCGCCGTCGCCGCCACCGCCGTCGCCGCAAGTCCCAAGGAAACTGGGAAACAGGGAAACGCAATGTCGTAGTTGAGTCGACTCCCTTCCCTGTTCCCCTTCCCTGACGGGGCGTGGGGGGGGGGCGTCGCCAGCGGCGGTCCCTCGGGTGGGCGGCACCGGCCGTGAGGCCTGCCCAAGACGTGACAGCTTGCGTTCCGAAGGGACCCGATGCTCCTCAGGTCTGTCCGTGGCTGTCTCCCTCGCGCTCCGCGTCCACGCAGGCGCTGTTGGGGGTCCAAAAAAAACGTCATTCCTGATTTAGCATTCCTCAGTTCAGCGACCATGTGAGCTACGAAGGGAAGCGTGCCTTAGGCGAGATGGCATAGGGACCTCACGCCGCGGCTTACGCGGTCCGCCAGCGAGGCACACACCGCGTGCAGACGAGGGCGCTCACACGCGACCTCACGCGCGCAGCTTACGCGCGCACGTCGAGGCAGCCGACCCCGCTCTGGCCGTCGCTCCTACAGTCAGGGCGTTGACCTAAGGAACCCTGAACAAGGAACGGGGCCCCTCTCTCCCATAAGTTGAACTTCGACTTCCCATGGAAACCTTCAGGAACACAGAAGGCAGACTGCCGAGCAATCAAGGAACACCGAGCCCCTCCCCAACGAAAAGGGTTCCTTCTTCAGGGCCCCGACTGTGCGCGCCTCGGGCGGGGGCGCGCCGCGCCTGCACGCCACGAGGGGCCCCTTTTTCCACCACCGCCTCATCATATGTAGGAGAGGGAGGAGGAGGGGGAGGGGGAGGGGGAGGAGGAGGAGGAGGAGGAGGAGGAGGAGGAGGAGGAGGAGGAGGAGGAGGAGGAGGAGGAGGAGGAGGGGGAGAGGGAGAGGGAGGGTGAGGAGGGGTGCGAGGGAGGGGGAGGGTTGGGAGGGTTCCCGTAATGAGGGACCGCGGGCCGAGCCGGGCCCCTGCAGGGCCGGCGAGGGGACCGGCTCGGGGGCCGGCGCGGCGCGGAGTCGGAGCCGAGGCTCGGAGAACGGAGTCGGAATCGAGCCTGGCCGTGAGCAGCCCTGCGAGGCGGGGCTGATCCCCACGGGGCTGTGTTAACGGGCTGCGTTAACGGGCGAACTAGTCCAAACACAGCGGGGGGACGATTTTCGACCGCTCTTGCCTATTGCTGCATATCTCTGGTTCTGTCTTCACGTTCTTCCAAGATCCGCCTGCAGGAGGACGTGCCCGACCTGACGACATGGCCCCTCCGGCACCGCCCACAGTTTATACCCCTACGGTGGCACCGTAGGGGTATAAACTTTCCAGCCGCCCAGGGACAGGCGCCCCCGACAGCGAAGAAGATTATTTTATACCGTTCTTCGCCCGTTAACTGTGGGCGATGCCGGAGGGGCCCTGTCGTCAGGTCGGGCACGTCCTCCTGCAGGCGTATCTTGGAAGAACGTGAAAACAGAACCAGAGATATGCAACAATAGGCAAGAGCGGTCGGAAATCGTCCCCCCGCTGTGTTTGGACTAGTTCTGAGCACCCCCCCCCAATAGCGAGGGACGTGCCCGACTTCACCCCGTCGACGGCCAGCTCCTGCTGCGCAGACTCCCCCAATCCCACAGCGGGAGCCGCACGGTATTCCCAGGCCGCGCGGCTTGTCGGCCGCGGGGGGACGTGAAGGGGCCCAGGGACACACAAATGATACACACAAAATCCCAGGATTCCCTATATCGTCCCACATCTTCTGGAATCTCCTCGTCCCCCCCACTTCCCATATTTATCCGATATTATCCAGGGGACCGACGGTCAATTGTGGCTGCGTGCTTCTTCCCCGCCCGGCCTTGTACCGCGCGAAGAGGCGCATGAGGTCGACGAATTGGCCATGGATGTCCCCGTACACCTTCTGGGGAGGAAGAAGACGAGGAGGAGGAAGCAGAGGAGGAGGAGGAGGAGGAGGAGGAGGAGGAGGAGGAGGAGGAGGGGGAGGAGGAGGAGGATGGGGAGGAGGAGGAGGAGGAGGAGGAGGAGGAGGAGGAGGAGGAGGAGGGGGAGCGTGGCGCTCCGCGCCTCGCGCGGTGCGCGAAGCCTCGCTGCTCCAAGAGGCCTGCGGCGGGCGCTCTCGTGTCCCAGCGCTGGACTGGTGTGCCTGTTGATGCAGCTCCCTCGCTCCCCTCCTCCCTGGAAAGTCGAGCGATCGAGGTCTGGACTGCAGCACGGCAATGCAGGAAGATGCAGGTGAAGACAGAGAGGGACTGCACGGAGCGCGCACGCGACGGGGTCCCTCTGCCGACGTCCAGTGCGCGGATGCGGCCCTCGCGCCATCCAGGGAGATTGGAAACGAAAAGACGACGACGCGACGAATGGTGCAACCAGCGAAATCGAAACAAAGGGGAGTCGGCAAGCAGTCCTGCCGCAGGGCCGGCATCGCCCTGCCCTTCGAGGTGAGACGAGGACGCCCAGGGGCCCTAGGGACACGGGCGGAGGGATTGCACGCCCGCGCACTGGGACCGCCACCGACCTGGCCTGGGAGCGGAAGCCATCGAGAGAGAGAGAGAGAGACACACTGAAGGGGCCCTGGGACACAAATAAATTCACACAAACCAAACAATTCCACATATTTTCCCATATTTTCTGGGTTTCTGCATTCCCCCCCACTTCCCATATTTCCCCATATTTTCTGGGGAATCGACGATCAATTGTGTCTGTATGTTTTTCCCCCTCCTGACACACGGCGGAAGAGCCGGGGGCCGCACGCCGACGGAGGTATGTACAGTGGAGGCCAGCCCATCAGAAACCTTGCACAAGAAGCCCAACCCTGAGACCCAAGGACGTCCATCGATTTCTCGGCGGTGGACAAACCTCCCTTTAGTAGACCTCCCCTCAGTGAAAACGGCCTGGGACCGAAACCGACGGACCTGGACCCGCAAAAACGACGGCCGCGACGCCCTCTCGCGAACCGAAAACGGCCAATTCCTTAATCGACGTGTCAGGGTAGGAGGTCTGTCCACCCCCGAATTTCTGGTGCGGGAACGCCACGCTCTCCACGGCAAAGTCATCGGAGCCCAAGAAGCCCAGGGCACCCTGGAGGCAAGCAGGGTGCTTCTCGGCATGGGCCTCCACTGTATATCGGGGGCGCGCAGACATGGATTAGCGATCCATGGGTTTGGCGCGCGGTCGCCAAATCCATGGATCGGGGGAGGTACCCTCCCCAAAGTGCGTGCGGTGCCGCCTCGCTCGGCGGCGGGAATCCGCGATTTCCCATGGAGACGGGACCCGTCGCTAATCCACGCCCCCTTGGTCCATGTTTGCGATCGCCTGAGTATATCGGGTCGGGCGAAAGGGGGGGATAGCAAAGGGGGGGTTGAGACTCAGCTCACGTAGCTGATTTTCCCGGCGCCTCCCGGCGCCGGAGGCGGCCATGTATCGAGGAGTGGGCCCCTCGGTGGGGCCGAAACCAGCTGCATGCAGCAAATTTCGTAACCCCCCCTTTCCCAATCCCCCCCTTTCGTCCGGCCCGACCTTGGTCCATGTTTGCGATCGCCTGAGTATAACACGCACGCCGCGCCGGGCCGAGGCAGGGCAGGGAAGGGCGCGGCACCAGCGCGGCACGCGGCAGGGAGGAGGGCAGGACGGCGCAGGGAGCCCAAGGCTGGCGCGGCAGAGGCTCCCTCCACGAGTGCCAGGCTTCTCCTCCTCCTCCTCCTCCTCCTCCTCCTCCTCCTCCTCCTCCTCCTCGC